TGTCCCCTGTCCCCTGTTCCCTGTCCCCTGTCCCTGTCCCTATCCCCCTGTCCCCTGTCCCTTGTCCCCTGTCCCCGAGCCCTGGCGGAGGGGCGGTGCTGCTGCTCCCCGTGGAAGAGGCCCCGGAGCCGGAGCCGGGCGCGGGAGGCACAGGGATGTGAAGTGCATGCTGAGTGTGTGATTTCCAGCCTTCAGTGCCCACATTGTTGGATAAGAGGATTAGAAAACACCACATAAAGTGGCCTTGCAGGGGGCTGCTTTGTACCTGCTCCGGGCCTTGTCTGGCAAACCCCAATTTCACAGCAGAGCCCATTCAGAGCCTGCGCCGAGATTGTTCACGTGCATTGGCCTTTTTACGAGCCAAGGGGTCACAGTTTCACATTCGCCTCATTCCCAAAGCACTGATATTTTTCATTTGGGATGGGGGCTGGTGGGGATATGGGGGCTTTTTGAGTCTGAACTCAGTTTGCATTTAAAACTGGAGATCTGGGGTGGATTGGGAAAGGATTGGGTTCACTTTCTCTTCTTTATGGTGGATGGAAGAGCTCAGGTGTGACTTCCCAATCCTAACTCTCCCAATGTTCAAGATTGCAGGTGGAAACCATTTGTCTGGAGTTTATAGACATGAATCCAGGCTTGGCAGATCTTCTTGCAGAAGTGTAATGAACTCAAGTTCAGGGGAAATATCTTTGGATCTTGCTGGTCAAAGAGGGAATTTCCCAGATGAAATCCCAGGTCCATGCTGCTGTTGGAATGTGGTCATTCCTCCTGTCTTCGTCCTGGTATGGAGTGGCTGAGCTGGACACTGAGGGCATTGTTTGAGCTTCTTCATTTTACCTTCTCAAAAGTTGATGTTTTGAGGAATGGGTTTAGCTCTCCCCAGTTCTGCATGCAAGAACTTTAAGAAAAAGCCAAAACCAGGATGATTTTTGGGATGGTAGGGATTAATTTAAAAATATATAATTTAGTTGGTGAACAAATGCCAGTTTCAGAACTCTGACTAAAGGTTTTTAACATAGAGTATCTGTGATGGGTGCACATACCCACACAGCCTCCCATGGCTGATGGGATTTATGTCCCCACACTCTGTCCACAGGGACACGTGTGACAATCGCATGACCTGCTCCACCAGCTCTGCCTCCAGCCTGGACACCAGTGCCCAGTTCCAGGAGAACAATGGGCAAACGCAGAGCACCAGATGGGATGAACAGCAGAAGGTGTTTGCCCTCGAGCAGGTGTGTGGTGTCTTCAGAGTAGACCTGGGACAAATGAGATCCCTTCGCCTTTTCTTCAGGTACTGGATCCTTGTGGGTGAGCTGTGTGTGAGTTACATGAATTGTGTGAGCTGTGCATGCTCCATGCTGGGGCTCTGGGCGGAGGTGATTTCTGCAATCCTACCTGGAAGCCTTTCCAGAACAATTGTCTACAGGAAAGTGAGTGTCAGCCTTCCCAAGGAGAGCCTCTGAATTACAGTTACAGAGTCAAAAGGATTTTATTTTTAGCAAAGCAAAGGTTGCTCTTAGCTGCCATACCATAAATGCTTCAAATAACCTGGGGATATGAAAAACATCTTTATCTATGGTACCTTTTCTTTTGCCTGCCCCTCAGCAGGCTCCTCTGGAGTCTCGCTGCTCTCAGTCTCTTCAGTTATCTTTCAAATTATTACAAAATTTATTTCAAATTATTGCAAAAACATTTTTACTCCCTCTTTTTGCTCTCACTCCCTGTTTCTTTGGACAGAGCTGTGTGTGAGCAAGTCTGCGCATCGCTGGGAGCTGACTTTGTGTACTGCCTAAATGTTTCTGGGGCAGACTTCCTGTGGTTTTTTCTCCAGGGAAGCCAAATTTTAAATCCTTCATGTGAAGGAAGAGTAAAAATAGTGCTGTTACCAGGCACAAGTGGAGAAAATTGTCACAATGACCATGTCATACAATCATAAAATGTCTCAATTGAAGTGACCTGCAAGGATCGGTGAGTCCCAGAGATGTACAGCTGCCTCTGTGCCCTGTTTTAAGGGGCAGCCTGGTGTTGCACTTGGTGACTTGCTTTGCACTGTCTCTCCCCGAGGCTCCATGTCCCTGCTGGTCCCTCATTGTGCTGGGTGGCCCCTGCAGGTTGCTCTCCATTGTTCCCACAGTGATGAGGCGTGTACCTGTGGGCAGCTGGTGGTGGCGAGCAGGGAGAGCCAGTACAAGATCTTCCATTTTCACCACGGTGGCCTGGATAAACTGTCGGAGGTGTTTCAGCAATGGAAGTACTGCACAGAGACCCATCTCAAGGACCAGGTACCTGAAGGCTCTTGGGGCCAGGTGTTTCACATGTGGGTTGGTGTGTTGGAGAAATGAGGCTTTGAGTTCATGTCACCAGGTCAGGCAGGAAGCTGCCAGATGCTGGGTCTTTAGGATGGAAATGCAAGCCAAACTCAAGGTGTCTCTTGGATTTGTCTGTCCCCATCCATTCCTGCTCTACCTGGGGAATATGGAGGAAGATCATCCAGAAGATTTACTTTGTGATTTTGATGGACCTGACGGCTCAGCACTGTCCTTTAGACACAGAAGGTGTCTGGAAATCTGCAGAGATGGGTTGGAAATTGTGTCAGAGCCTTTCATCCATCTTGTGACGCATAACATTCCGTTTGGAGAATGTTTTGACAAGACATCTTGCCATATTTTGTTCAATCTACATACAAATGTGATAAGAGCTCTTTAATTATCTGTTTAAGATATTGTATGTGCTTATTAGAAACAGTGATTTTTAAATTTCCATCCTTCCCACAGAGCCCCCCGCTGCTTTTCTTATTACGGTCGCATGGGCTCACTTTTTGCATTGAGCAACCTTTGATTTTTAAATTAAATGTCAGCTGCAGCCTTGCACTGGGATCCTGAGTGCCCTCAGAGAGCCTGGCAGTGCAGTTCCCCGCTCTCCTAACAGCAATCCCTTTGTATATGGCCAATCATATGTAATTTATTGCAGGCATTCCTGGCAGGGGCAAGTTTTGCTGTAAGCAGCATTAATTCAGTTTCAGGTCAGGGATAAGATTTGAAGAGGAATAGAAAGTATTTTTTTTTTAAGATGAAGCCATTTCACAGTGGATTTTAATTATTCTAATCACTCTTGTATTGTAATGGTTGGAATTAAAAAAAAAAAAAAAAAAAAAAAAAAAAAAAAAAAAAAAAAGCCAGCAAAACCTCCCCAAGTGCAGCTCCTCAGTGCTTAATCCTACATGAACCATGCAGAGGTTTCCCTGCTCTGGGTTTCACACTGCTGCTCTCCCTGGCTCCTGCTGCAGCTGTGGTTTGTTCTGCCCCCTCAGCAGCTTGCAGATGAGAAAACCTGCATGCAGTTCTCCATCCGCCGCCCCAAGCTGCCCTCCTCGGAGACCCACCCCGAGGAGAACTCCCACCGGCGCCTGGACGTGTCGGCCTGGCTGCAGCACCTCAACGAGGCCGGCCAGGTGGAGGAGGAGTACAGGCTGAGGAAGGTGAGGGCTGTCCTGGGTTCTGGCCTGTGCGCAGTGCCAGTCCCCAGGGGAGCTGCAGGAGTGTGTTCCTGCCAGGGGCAAGAGCTGGGCTTTTGGGAGGATGGAGACCGGAATGAAGCCTTGGCTGGAGATCTTGCTGTGGGACTGCATTCCCACCTGGACATGTTCCTGTGTCACCTGCTCTAGGTGACCCTGCCTCAGAGAGGGGAGTGGGACTGGAAATCTCCAGAGTCACTTCCAACCCTAACATCTCTGTCACTCTGTGGTGGGGAAGCATTTCTCTGACCGAGTAGCTGTCCCACTTCTGCTGCCGTTTGGAATCAATAAACCAAAGTGCCCAGTGCCTGCTTTGCTTTGCAGAATGTGTGACCAAGTCACAGAGAACACCAGAGATTGCTGGAAGAGCTGAGATGGTTGAAATAGCTGAGATTGTATGAAGTGAGATTGTATGAAGCGAGATTGCTGTATGAAATAGCTGAGGGCTGAGGGGAGCACTGGGCCCGGGCCCTGAGAGAGAAGTTTGCACTGCAGTGCAGAGTCTCCAGGATTTGGGATTAAGCCGTGACGTGAGAACGACACGTTAATCATAGAGCCTCTCCGAGGGTGGTTATTGACATTGAAATGAGCCTGATTTGTGTCTGGTCTGGGAATAGAGGGCCCGCACTTTCCCTCTAAACATGTGCAAATTGCAGGAGCTTGAATCAAGGCGTCACTTGTCAGGAAAGAGCTGCAGAGGCACCAAAGCACACCAGCGGGCAGTTGCCTGTTGCTGTTTTTGGGAATGCTAAAACTGTACCAGCCATAACTTTTGCTCCTTCTTCCAGGCCATTTTCTTTGGTGGGATTGATATTTCCATCCGTGGGGAGGTGTGGCCCTTTTTGCTCCACTACTACAGCTACGAGTCCACCTCTGAAGAGAGAGAGGCACTGAGGCTGCAGAAGAGGAAAGAATACTTTGAGATCCAGGAAAAAAGGTAACAGACCATCATCATCCTCCCCTGCTCGTCTTCTTTGGGCCAGAAGTCACAGTGACAACTCAGTGTCTGCATCTTTGCATGAGGAGAGGCTGGAGTGGGAGGGATGGTGAAGGAGGTGTTGGGCACTGCTGAGGCTCTGGAGCCAATGCCACAGAGCCCAGACATTTATTCACCTGAGCTCCTGGAACAGCCTCGTCAGAACCATGCAGTACTCTAACCTCACAGGCAAGGCTCGGGTTAGAGTACTGAAGGTGAAATTAGGATCTTATATTTCTTTGTTAATAAAATGTACATAAAAATAAAGCATGAGAAGGGTTATGTAATTCCAGAAGGTTTTTAATGCAAGAATTGTGTGTTGTTAAATGGAGGTGGGTACACTGAAGCTGGAGGGGCACAGTACTGTTAATAATCAGAAGACAATCAAACCAGAGTGGTGAGTTCTGGTGTGCTGAGTTCCAAGGCGCACTGGGAAACAGAATTTGATGCTTCTGAAGTCTTTATTGCAGCAAACACATCGTGCTATCCTGTTTATAACCCAGGAGGCTCCTTCCAGTAATCCCTTGGGACAGACAATCCACTGTTCTGGACAGACCTGCTGGTCTATTTTTCAGGTGCTGAGGAAACTTGGTACAGGAGTAGTTTTTCTCTGCAAACTAAGACTGAAATAAGGCTTTTTGTTCATTGTGACAATCACATTCCTCTCTTGGCAACCCTCTGCTGTTGCTGCATGGTGTCCAGGCTGTCCATGACTCCAGATGAGCAGAAGGATTTCTGGCGCCAGGTGCAGTTCACGGTGGACAAGGATGTCGTGAGGACCGACCGCAGCAACCAGTTCTTCCGAGGGGAGGACAACCCAAACGTGGAGACCATGAGGTGAAGTGTCCTAAAAACCATGTCCTGCTCAATATTGGTCAGCCCCCAGCCCAGGCTGCCTGGGAATGCTGCACAGCACGCACCTCTGCAACCACGGGATGCAGCAGCAAGGCCTTCCCCAGTGCTCCCACTGCTGCTGTAGTTCCCTTCTCGGCCCTGTAGCCCTTCTCCCATCCTTGAGCTTCCCTGCACACACAGCAGAGGTGCTGTGGTAGGGCACTGGGCAGGTGCTTGGGTCTGTGATTCTCCTGATAGCATAGAGGACAAGTACACCAGAGTATGCTCCATGACAGTGTGACTTGGAAAGGTGTGACCTCAAAAGAGTTGGGTTTCATCCAATAGCATGGCTTGGAGTTTTATGGATGTGTTGGGCATCATCTCTCCTTTCCCATGGACCCTTCATTTCTGTCCTCTTAATCTTTTTAAATTCTCATCTTCTATTTATATTTTGCTGTCTGTGAATGCCAAACCTTTCCCTGAAGTCTGTGCCACAGAACTGGGGTTTGCAGCAGGGTTTCCCTGTCTGTATTACAGCACCTCACATGAGGCCCTGTGTCTTTGTCCCTGAGACGATGCTGTCACCTGCGCTCACCTGTCCCCTCTGCATTTTTGTCTCTGCTCCAGGAGGATCTTGCTGAACTATGCAGTGTTTAACCCAGCCATTGGATACTCCCAGGGCATGTCTGACCTGGTTGCCCCACTCCTGGCAGAGGTCCTGGATGAGTCGGATACTTTCTGGTGCTTTGTTGGGTTGATGCAAAACACAATCTTCATCAGCTCCCCCCGGGATGAGGACATGGAGAAGCAGCTGGTGAGGCTGAATGCTGGGCTCCCTTCAGCCCTCTCATGGCTTCTCCTCTCCTCAGTTCCTGGGCTCGGGGGGTCCAGCATGCCAAATCACACTCCAAAGCCACTACATCCTTGGGGTGATCCTTGGGGTTGCCATGTGCAGGGCCAGGAGCTGGACTGTGATGATCCTTGTAGATCAATTCCAATTCGGAATATTCTATGATTCTGTGGAAATACCTGGTGGGTAGAATTGATCCTGGGCAACTGAGGCACTCCAGAGGCAGTTATATCCATCCTTCTTGTGAAATGGCCACTAAGAGAGAAGAGCTTTGCAGCTCTGGCTCCCCGGGGCGCTGAGGGGTGCCCGAGGCAGGGCCTCAGGCCAGGGCGTCTCTTGCAGCTGTACCTGCGCGAGCTGCTGCGGCTGATGCACCCCCGCTTCCACCAGCACCTGTGTGCCCTGGGAGAGGACGGGCTGCAGATGCTCTTCTGCCACCGCTGGATCCTGCTCTGCTTCAAGCGCGAGTTCCCGGAGGCCGAGGCGCTGCGCATGTGGGAAGCGTGCTGGGCTCACTACCAGGTGAGGCAGCTGCCAGGGCACGGCACAGCCTGGCTGAGTCCTCACCCTCAGCACTGAGGGTTTCCAGAAAGGCTCTTCACAGTAAAGTAGCCAAAATAAGTTGGATCTGTGACTATGGCAGAGTTTATCTACCTAGCAGGAGGTTGGAGCCCTGCTTGCCTCTCCTCCTTGGGGATGTCTGGCTTCACAAGGAGGTGTTTCAGGAAATGCTGAACACCCACTTCTGAAGTTCAGGCTTCTCTTACACAGCCGGGAAATGTCTTCCCAAAAATCTGCTCTGTGGTGCAAACTCTAGTGCAGACCTTGCTGCTGGGCTGTGAAGGAAAGAGGCTTTGGCTCAGCTGTTGTCCAGAAGTCACCAATAACTCACATTCTGATCACTGAGCAGAACTGAACAGAGCAAAATCTCTTGCCAAGGACCCACTTGTGGAGGGTGGGAGGTGAAGCCAGAGCTCTGCCTCCACCTGCTGTACAGCAGCTCCTGTGTTCCCATTGCAGACAGACTATTTCCACCTCTTCATCTGCGTGGCCATCGTGGTGATTTATGGGGACGACGTCATCGAGCAGCAGCTGGCCACTGACCAGATGCTGCTGCATTTCGGCAACCTGGCCATGCACATGAACGGGGAGCTCGTACTCAGGAAGGTAAATGCCCAGGTGCCCATGTGGGACAAGGTCCAGAGATGAGTCAGAGTATTCAGAAAAATGGGGACTGCTGCTTCAGCTTTGCATCTCCTGTATCCCCATGGCTGCCTGGGTGGGATGCTGCTGTTTGCCTGGAAACAAGATTTGCAGCAGGAGGAGGTAGTTGTTGAGTGCCTGGGAGGTGGCAGTGTGGTTGGGATAACCCTCCTGTGGATAACCTGCTCAGGGAAATGGAGACAGAGCTGCTGGCGCCATGGTGCCCATTCCCTTTCAGCTGGCAGTGACTGGGCCCATGGCATGAGCTGTGGTGAGTGGCAGTCCCCGTGAGCTGCCAGCGTCCCCAGTGCCTCGGTAACCCTCAGGTGTCGAGCAGGACACACCTTTGCTGAAGCCCAGGCAGCCAAACAGGAGGATTGTGTGGGAGGCCACCTCAGCCCTCCGTGTTGGTCCCTGGTGAGGGGTGACTGTTTTCCCTCTCTCCCTCCAGGCCAGGAGTCTACTCTATCAGTTCCACCTGCTGCCCCGCATCCCCTGCAGCCTGCACGACCTCTGCAAGCTGTGTGGGACAGGCATGTGGGACAGCGGCTTCATCCCCGCTGTGGAGTGCTCTGGCCACCACCCCGAGTCCGAGAGCTGCCCGTACGGGGGCCTGGTGGAAGTGTCTTCTCCTAAACCAGGAAGTGAAGGCAAGAAAGGCCTGAAAACACGGGATGTCTTTGCCTTCCGAAAATAGCTGCGAGGAACAGGGTGCGACGGCGGAAGGGAAGGGCAGGAAGGATGTGCATAGGAAAAAATGTCAAAGAAAGAAATGGAGGAATAGTTTGTCAAGACTCCTGAGAAGACTGGAAGGTGTGGAATGGAAGAGGAATTAAATTGCTCTGTAGGGGAAGTTCCGTTGCATGGGTGATGGAACCTGAGAGAAAGGCACTGACCCAGGAACTCTGGTTGGATTTGATTTTGTTAGAAACAAGCTTTTCTAGGTTTTAACAGGGACTTTTTATTCTGCCTCTGGGACTGGACTGGTTAGAAACCAGAACTTTCTTAGTTGCTGGTGAGAAACAAGAACACTCCAGGGAGCCAAGGCTGCCCAGAAGTGTTGGTGGGCAGGTGGCAGGAGCAGGGCTAAGGCCACTGTCCCCTCACCCAGAGCACACCTCTCTGCTTCAACCAAAACATGCAGCTTTGTGGCTTCTTTTTAAAGCCATAAAAGCCATTTTAATTATAATCTGCCAAAAATAAAACTGCAGACAATTGGGATTGCAGGGCAGGTATCTGCTTTGTCAGCAAGGAAGGACCGGTCATCTCGAAGTCTTGTCTCTGGCTTTTTCTGGTTTTATAGGATACACTGGCTGGCATGATTTTTTTCCATTCTTATAGAAAATGGGCTGCCCCAGGTCTCAGAGCACAGCTGCTCTCAGTCAGGGCATTTCACAGACATTGCCCAAAGTTTCCTTCTTCATGAGATACTGGGGAGGAATTCTTCCCTGTGAGAGTGGTGAGGCCCTGGCACAGGGTGCCCAGAGGATCTGTGGCTGCCCCTGGATCCCTGGAAATGTCCAAGGCCAGGTTGGATGGGGCTTGGAGCAACCTGGGATAGTGGAAGGTGTCCCTGCCCATGGCAGGGGGTGGAATGGGATGAGCTTTAAGGTCCCTTCCAACCCAAACCATTCTGTGATTCTCTGACATTACAGCAAAGCTGTTTCTTTATGCTGACAACTGCAGACTTTAGTACTTTAGTCTGTTGTTTCCAGTATGTTTCCCATTGTGTTTCCTTTGACTCTCCTCAATTACTGAATATTTACTGTCCTGGCCTGTCACTGCCACAGCCTGTGGCACATACACTCTGTGTGGGTCTTAGGCTCTTCAGTCAGTGCCAGGAGTGCTCCCTGTTCCACATCCCAAAGTGAAAATGAAACCTGCTTTCTTGCAGTCATTTTTGCTGAGCTATGTCTGATAAAGGTTTCCCTTGGGGTGTTTTTGAAAGGACAGTGTTCCTCCCCATGTCTGCTACAAATTTTGCCAGCCAGAAGTGGAGCTGGGGCCTTGAGCCCTGTTGCCAAAGGTTCTTACCAAATTCCATGGCCTCCAAAGGCGTGTCCTGGGCCAGCGTGTGTGCCAAACGGAGCCAGGGGAGCAGTTTCCTTGGGGGGGTGGAAAAGGAGATGAGGTGGCAGCAGGCTGTGCCTCCCTGCATCCCTCTGCAGCCTTCCCTGGCTGCCCTGCTCCCTCTCACTCCCTCCACGCTGCTGCCCATGCAGCTGTCCTGGGCAGGCTGATGCCCAGCCCTGCCTCTCAGGAGTGTCCGTGCCCTTAGCAGCACACGTGGAACTACCATGTCCTCGGGCAGAGCTGGGTGGGCTCCTGCACTTGAGAAGCACATTTCTCTCCAAATCCTTCTGCAAAGCCTTACCCACAGCCTGTCCTGGAACCCCGTTCCTGCTGGGAAGTGAACCAGCACCAGCCAAAAGCACGCGGCGTTCCTGCATGGAAGGAGCCTTGACCCACTGAAGGCAACATGCCAAGGCCTGGCTGTTGGGTGGCAGAAGGACAGTTCAGCTCCCAGTTTGTGTGCCTTCAATCCAGAGGATGAAAACCTTCCCCTGGATGGGAGCAGTGGGGAAACCTGCTGGGAATGGCACAGCTCTGAATTGGCCTGGCTGCGGGGCACCGAGGCTGCAGGGGTGAGCTGGGCTTTGGCAAGGGACACCTCGTGCAAGAGCTGGAGCTGCTCTTCTCTGGGCAGGGAGTTTGTGGAGATTTATGTTTCAGTGATAATAAAAGTTGGTGTGAGGCTTTTGTGTGTCCATTGCTGTGCAGGCTGGGGACAGCAGACACCTTCCCCCAGCTTTAGCTGCCCCTTTTGCAGCCACTCAGAGACGTGCTGGGTGCCAGGGCTGCATCGCTGTCCCCAGGCTCTGCTCCTGGGCACCTGTGGCAGCACTCGATGTCTTCATCCACGTGGAGGCTCCAAGTGGCAGTGGCTGAATTCAGGTCAGAGAAAGCACACAGCGGAAAATGCCAGAAGCATCTTCCTGCAGCACGACTTGGTGGCACAGGGACAGGTGCCAGCTCTCCAGGGGGACAGCAGGAGGCAGACACTGCCTTCTGCCACCTGCCAGCCCCGTGTGGCACAGGCATGGCCATGAGGCCTTGGCAGCACCGTGGCTGCTCCTGGTGCCAGGGCAGCCAGAGCCCCCAGGAGCAGTAGGAGGTGTGGGCAGCCCTGCCAGGCCTGGAGGACTGGGCACAGGGGCAGCCCCTCCTGGGCTCATGGAGTGCTGGGCACAGGAGAGCAGCCCCTCCACACCTCCCCACTGCCTGCCGTGGATTGGGAGGCACCAGCAAACCCCTCCCAGAAGGGCCAGAGCTGGTTTTGCTGCAGCACTCGTTCCCAGCCAGTAAAAGACAATAGGAAGAGATGAAGTAGATAATTTGGAGCGTTATTTTTCCACTATTAAAATGTCATTCAGCAATGTGGAAATCGCTCAGGATCCGTTTCGTTAAAGACTCTGCACTGCAGCTTTCCAGCATGTGGAATAAGCTGGGTTCTGTTCGAAGCAGGGCTCAGCTCTGGGTGTGCATCCTTGAGACCATTTGCCACCCTTGGCTACTCTGCCATGCCCGGTGTCCCCTAAGTGTCCCTCTGCCAGCAGGAGACTTGAGGTGTCTGTCCCTGTGCTCCCCATTGGAGCTCCCCATGCCCCTGGCACACACTGACCCCACTTTGCCCTAGTTAGGGACACAAAGGGATGGAGCTGGTCCCCAAGGACCAGCAGCGCTCATATCCCAGTGACCCAGTTCCAGTCTCAGCCTGTCACTGACTTGTGATGCCGTTATTTAACTCAGACTGGAGATCCACAACCATCTGAGCTTCTCTGTGGGGAGACAGGGCCAGCGAAGCCAACCTGGAGGCCTCTGGCAGTGCCTAGGATAGCACTGGAAGCAACCTTGGGATTTTCACAGTGCAACGATGGACAGGGCATTTCAAAGGTCCTTCTGACCCATCCCCAAGATTTTCCTTTGTGACATTCTTTGCCATCTGAAAAAAACCCCAAAGGAATAAAAAAACCAGCCAAGCTTTGGTCCCTACAGAGGAGGAACGTGGGTCCCAGGAACAGGGATCCTCACATAGCCTCTCCTCAGTGCTGCCCTGAGCATTGCGTTAGCAGCAGCTGAGAGCTGAAAATAGCCCCTCGCGAAGGTAAATAGTCCGTGTAAGCCTCTTTAGCCTCAGCCTTGAGCTGACACATCCTCCTGCCTCCCGCTGCCGGGGGGAAGGGGAGCAGGGAGGGACGAAAGCAGAGTCCTCTGTCCCGGGGTGATAACGCTGTGCTCCGGCATCCCGGCGGGAACCGCTCCTGGAGCCCTGCGGAGAAGGGAACAGAGCACGCCTGACCTCGGGATGGAGATGGGGCTGGGCCCTGCACACCTGGGCACAGGGCAGAGGAGAGAGGGACACACGGGCTGGGAAGGGCCCGGAGCTGTCCCACGGGAGGGGACAGCATCGTTTGTCCTTGGCACTGAGTGGTGACCACACAGCTCTGGCCAAACTGCCCCTGGAGTTGGCTGCACTGGGGAAATCGTCACCCGGGAGTGGGGCAGCGGCAGGTGGAGGGGCTTGGTGCCACATCCCAGGGCTGGGTGTGTTTGGATGTGGCTGTTTGGCTCTTTTGTCACGGGACACTGCCCGTCAAATGAAAAATTACAGCTCACAAGAACAAAGAGACTCACCTGAGTTATTACAAGCACTAAAGAATTTCAACCCCAACGTAGCCTGTCCTCCCAGGCTGGCTGATTAATCCCGGGTCGCTATGCTTGGACCATAAAAATAGACCGGGCCGGCCGGCTGGAGCTCACGGGCACATTCTGCCCCAGGCACCGGCCGGCCCTGCCCGAGCGCCGCTCCGGGCTCTGCACGCCCTTTCTGTGGCTCGTTTAAACACAAACACAGCTCGCGATGAGCTTTCGGGGCTCCTGGAAGAAAAGCCGAGGCTGGGGCAGCCCCGGCAGGGAGCCGTGCCGGCGCTGCCAGCTCGGACTCGCCGCGGGGCTGCCGGTGACTGCGGCGAGGAGCGGCCGGGCTGGAGCTGCCCACCCTGAGCAGCGAGCACGGGCGGGGAAAGCCCTTCCCTTCCTGCTGCAGCTGCACCCATCCTCCCCAAAAGCACAGGAGTGAGCACGGACACAGCTCAGGCATCCCAGCAAGGGCACCTGGAGTCAGCCCGGCTTTGGGTGGTGCCTTTGGCAACCGTGAGGGATTCTCTGGCAGCTCCCAGCCCTCCAGTGCTCCCACACGCCTGAATTCAGGTCCCTCTGAATTCAGCAAGCTCAGGCCCTGCTGAAGCTCCTGCTCCATGTAGCAAAGCAGCAGCAGGAGAAGGAGCAGCCTAAGAACTCTTTCTGGGTTTTTTGATTTTGTTTGGCTCGGGTTTGTCTTTCAGAAACCACAAACAAGCTCAGCTCCTTCTGTCTGCAGCCAGGGCTTGACTAACCTTGGCGGGGGCAGAGGCGGCCGGGGAGGTGCCGAGTGATGGGGATGCAGCAAAATCCTCTCTGCTCGCCAGAGGTTTCTGCAGGGGAGACACGGGGCTGTCCCAGAGCCCAGGGACACGGCAAACACCTGGCACGGCGACCCCAACCCCTGCCTGACCCCGAGCCCTCCGCACTGGGCAGAGCCCGTGCTGTGCATGAAGGCACAGAGCCTTTGGTGCCGCTCACGCTGCTCAAGGCAGCTGCCAGGAGGGCTGCTCAGCCCAAATCGGCTCCAGCAGCCGGGTCCTGGTTTCAGGAACCCAATTTCCACATATTGCAGGTGAGGGTGGGCAGTGAAAAGCTTCCAGCCATGACTGGAAACCCTGCAAACAGCCCAAACAGCAGCTGGCCCTCCGGCGCTCTGCCGGGGTGATCCAACCGCCCCATGGAGATGCCGACAGCAGCAGGAGCGCCGGGAAAGCGCTGCCGCCGCTCCCCGGGGCTCGGGAGCAGCACGGATAACCCGGGCCGGGCTCTGGGCAGGGCAGGGGTGCCACGGAGAGGGCGCAGGAGAGCCGGGGTGCACAGCTGGGGGCTCCGCGTCCCCTCCTGCAGCTCTCCGGGCACAGGGCGGGTGCGGCTGCCACAGCCGGAGGGTCACAGCCACCCTGGCTGCGGCTGCAGAGGAGCCCGTGCTCAGCGTGGCAGGAAAGGGTTAAGGCGCTGCCGGAGCGGGAATGAGAGCAGGGAATTCAGCTGCTGACGCAGGTAGGATCTGCCGGCGCATCCCCGTGCAGACACAGCAGCGTCACCCTCCGC